TTGCAATGACACTATCTTCGTGATTTTCGATCTGGTAACACTGCTACCGCGTCTGAACGGCAGGGGTGTTTTGTAGCTTGAACACTGACTTTATTTAGTTTTTTTTTGATATTAGGTATGGTTTTTATGACATTATGTAGGTTTTCCAACAAGACGTCAACTTGAAAATAGCTTTCGCTTACTTCATGCTCACTTGTAGCAAGCGTGAAATGAACTATTTGCTCTCTAACCTACTTAGTCAACAAGTTGATATTTTATCGATTTTATCGGGGAGAGGCGACGTTGCCAGATGTATCACCGTTAGGGCTGGGAAGGAATGTATATGCACTAATTGTATGGACCTATTTGACTGACTTGATCCATTTAATGTTTCTGTTATATATGTTTTTAACTATCTTTTTTCTCAGAGGGTCTAACTTTTCCTTAACATAATCCTTTATGAACTGATGACGTTGCATGCAGAGTCAACTTGGCATTCTTTTGTTCTACAAAACGTCACTTGGGTTAAGTGTCGCCAGGAAAACGGATCAAAGGGATAATCATAGGTGGACCTCAAGATCCATGGATGCGTGGGATGTGCTTGCCTATAAAGGAACTTGCTGTACACGGGATGATAAGACTTTATTAAGCACCAAGAATTGTCATGTCCTACACATTCTGGTGTTTCGTGAACCTTCACGATCTTCAAGATAAAAGAGACCATGCCGAAGTGTGGGCGTGGGTCGTTTTTTTCGGATACACAGGTAAAAAACTCATGTCATCAGTATTCATATTGCTATTATATACAAAACATGCCCCGCTGGGTCTTGAGACATTTTGAAATGAAATACGACGAGCCTTGGATAAAAAAATAGCGTCGCCACATGTGTTACCGTTGCAGTCCTATCAAGATGACTAAGAATTCTGGAAACTTTCAAATTATAAAATTAATATTTTACGGGGTGTCCCCGAATAAAACAACAATCTCTCGGATTACGTAAAGAGTATGTACAAAAAACAGCGTCAAGTAGTTGGACTCTGCATTGCCTACGCAACGCTGTCATCAGTCTCTGAAGGAACATGTAGTCACAAGTTGCCTACTCTGAGAACAAAGTTAACGACAAGCAAAGGAATTAAATAGATCAACACAGTCAACTTAATCAATAAAATTAGTCCACACTCACTTGACAATGTTGCGAGCTAGAAATCTTCTACTAGCCGTCTTCGAACAGGTAAGTGGGCTCGATTATGATCTAACTGTACGTACCACTTACGCTTATTTGTATACAACAGAGGCTGCTGGATTATGTGTATAAAGGAACAAATGTTTTCGTATACCCAAAGGTGCAAATGGAAAACGCAAAAAATCATCGCCTGTGAGAATCAAACACCGATCTACAGCGTAATAAGTAGTAACTGTAATCATCAAATGTTATAAAAGCATGTCACATTTATATAATGAAACCTCTCTCACACATTATACAGGGTGTTCCATAATTATTGCGACAAAATGATAGGGGTTGTAGAGGGCATAAAAATATGCAATTTTGCCTTATAAACCCCTGTTCGTAAATATGCCGTTTGAGCACTACAGTTAATTTTACCTTAAGAGCTCATAGGAGAAACAAAAAATTCACCAGCTGCAAAACGTTCGTCTAGCACATTTCATGGTCTCACCGGTTTGTAAAAAAAGCCTGCTGTGTTTACATTTTTGTTATCGTACACCCGTACCACCTTTTAAAAGTCCAAGCCATGGGTCCAGCAGACTATCTGCCGCGTCGACGTTTTTGCCGTTGGTGGCTGCAGCAGGAGTTGAGGCAACCAAACTTTGGTCGCTACGTTTTGTTCACTGACGAGTCCTGTTTTACAAAGGACGGTTATTTTAATAGCCATAACAGTCACATTTGGGATGAAGAAAACCCTCATGCCATAGCCATCCATAGAGACCAACATCAGTTTTCAATTAACATCTGGTGCGGCATTGTGGACGAGCATATCATCGGGCCATATCTGCTTCCACCACGTTTGGATGGGCATGCTTATGGTCGATCCTTACAGCATGTGCTACCGGAACTATTACAAAATGTGCCACTGAATATAAGAGCCAACATGTGGTTTCAACACCATGGCGGTCCAGCCCACTTTTCTTTACAAGTGCGGCAGTATTTGGACGACAAATTTCCAAATAGGTGGATAGGCCGAGGTGGCCCTGTGCCTTGGCCTGCGCGGTCACTTGACCTGACCCCACTGGATTATTTTATCTGGAGCTATCTGAAAGCTTTAGTGTACGAAACTCCTGTTCCCAACCAACAAGAGCTACTGGGAAGAGTGATGGCCGCGTCCGCACATGTTCAGGACATACCGGGGGTATGCCACAGAGTTCGCCGATCATTGAACAATCGTGCACAGCTGTGTATTGAGCAAGGTGGAGGACACTTTGAGCAATTACTGTAGGTAAGCTGTTTCAAGAAACTGATCTTTTTTTTTTGCTGCAGCCCAAACGGCATATTTCCGAACAGGGGTTTATAAGGAAAAATTGTTCATTTTGATGTCCTCTACAACCCCTATCATTTTGTCGCAATAATTATGGTATATTCGATATTCAAAACCAGGGTAGTTATCTCACAATTTGAAACATCAATAGCAATAAGCCCAATATACAAAGCAGGTAGCAAACATGGTATACACAATTAAAGGCCCATAAGTGTGATAAACAATTTTGCAAAGCTTGTTGAAGAATATATAAAAGAGAGACTATTCAAATGTTTTGTAACCAATCACAAGTTATCGAACAATCAAATAGTTTCATAGGTAGTCTTAGTTCAAGTGATGCAATGCGTGAACTCAACTCAGATAACTACGAGCCGTAACAAAGGAAAGAAAAGCATAGCTGTATTTATGTACCTAATGAACTACGATTTCATATGCTGATGATAACGTTATTTTATTAGTTTACAAAAAATTTGTAAAAGTTTCCAGGTCGAAATATTTAGGAATAAAGAATAGACAAACTGTATTCATAAATTCTTTTGCGGGATACTCTACCAAAAAATTGTTGTTGATTATATATAAATCTCTAATAGAATCATCAATAGGGGGAGTCCGGGAGAGTATACCCACCTTCCACTAAAATGCTTTTAAGTCTTTACACGCTTACAAATCTTCATTTCCGATAAATTATATCTTAGAACGCATTATTTAGCTACATTTTTTCTCAAGAAAGCTTAATGTAGCATTAAGAGTTTACGAGTTATCAACGATTTCTGCCAAGGTGACATTCGGCTAATATCTCCCGCATGGGTGGGAGACTTGACCCCTCGAGTAGGGAGCCTTTACCCTCCACTTTAGGATTAGGCAAAATAATCATTACACATTGTAAATCTATAAATTTAATTAAAAAAATATGGCACATAGTATTACCTGAACCTACTCCATCTTTCACATAACTAGGTAACAAACCTTATAAGTAGTTAAAGCTTAAAAGTAGGTAATACAAATTATTTTTTGGTATGGAATCTTGTACGTTGTCGGCAAAATAAAAATTAGAGTTATTCTCAAAACTAAGAACAAAAATAAAATAATACATAACAAGATAACAAAATCTACTTATAAAATAGTCATACTCTCCATCAGAAACAGGAAGTCAACCTTATAAGTAGTTTAAACTTAAAAACCTTGTATGTTGTCAGTAAAACAAAAATTAAAATAACTCTCAAAATTAAGAGCAAAGATAATAACAACCTTCATCAGTCTTACTTTTTTTAATTGGAGCAATTGGGACAAATAAACTGCTCCTTATCGTCTTTGGATAGTCCAACACACATTTCATGGACATATTTGCCACAAACAGCACAAAGTCTCATGTCCATAACTTTGTCTTCCCCACAGATGAAACAAAACCAATTATCAGTAACATCTGGTACTTCATCCCAGGGACTATCAGAACTATCATCATACTTGGGTTCTTCGTCAAGGTCTGTCTCACTGTCACTTGACTGTAAAACTTGTCTTTTTACTGTCTTTTTCTTTGCTTTGCCTGTTTGCCTTTTCGTAGTTATTTTAATTTTCTTATTTTTCGGTGCATACTTATCATCTTGGTCTAGTTTTTCTGGCGTTTTTGTTAAAATTTTAGTTTTTCCGGGCTGTCTACCACGACGAAGACTTTTTCTAGAAGTAGCTTTTGGAAATGGTCGAATTGTTTGTGGTAAAACTATTTTTGGTGTGTGTCCGGAATCAGAATCTACCGTTGTCATATCCAGAACATTAGATGTAGAAGCTATCTCTGCTGATCGTCTTGGTATTGTATTTGCTTGCTCGGATTCTTCCGCAGTCAAAATTGATGGTGAATTGATTCTAGGAGCTGCAGTTTCATTCGTGAATACTGATGCTGATGTTGAAGGCTCTGACTGACGTACAGTAGATGTTGAAGGTAATGCGACCGTGGTTGAATCTGATGGTACTTTTGCAGCGACCGAGGGTGAAGTAATCGAAGAAACATCTTGCTTTTGGAGTTCACTAGTCATTTCTCTATCTGTTACCGCAGAGCATAAAAAGTCGTCATCTGTAAAGATGTCCGGGTTATAGGGGTGTATCCCAGTTGATCGAAATCCACTCAAAATATTGGATAGACTAAAAGCCTGCGACATGATTGTGTTTACAAATCCAGGTATATTGTAGATCGTAACAGTTCGTCCTGGGTTACTGATCATCCAGTTATTCATGGCTGAATTATATCTAGTCTTGAAAGATGAATAGACGGAAACATCTAATGGCTGTAGCTTTCTGCTGCAGTGGGGGGGTATAGTCAGCAAAGTGACTCCATTTGATTTTGCATATTTAACGACTTCAACACTGATATGACTTTCGTGGTTGTCGAGGATAAGCTGGACTCGGTTATTAAGAGATGCGTTCGAATATTTCACAAAATGCTCCATGAATTTTACGAAACTCTTGGTTGTCATCCATCCACTAGGATAGGAGTCACCATGTGAGCCTGGAGGCCCACCAGCTACAAAGCATTCGTTGTATCTAACCCTAGGGAAAATGAAAAATGGAGGAAGAACATTTCCCAGAGCGTTCACAGCGAAGCAAACGGTCACAAGGCTGCCGCGTTCAGCTGAAGTAACTTGTCCTACTTGACGCATATTTATGCTTGCTCGCTATTACTTTGGGACACTCTTGTACAGTCGTACACCCTGTTTCATCACAGTTATAGATGTTATGTGCTTCAAATTGGTATTTTTCTCTAACTTCTTTGAGGTTCTCGAAGAAATCAGTAACGTTTTTTCTATTGAAGCTGGTTGATCTGGATAAACTGGTGGCTTCTGGGGTTCTCAAACTTAGTTCAGGGTTTCTTGTCATAAATCCCCGGAACCAATCTTTTCCTGCGCAGTTGTTGGAAGTCCAACAATCTGGAACCTTTTTGGAATTCATTGTTGCATATTCATATGCTAGCTGCATAGTCGCCTGTCTGGTTAATCCATAATTCATTTTGCTGCAAGCTATAAGATATTCAACAAGCGCCTTCTCTTCTTCGATTGTAAATATCATAGATGTTTTAAACTGGCTTCCTTGTTCACTTATTTTAGTCAATTTAGACCTGTCTCTTAAATAATTTCTTAAGGTATTTCTGTCAATTCCATATTCCAAAGCAACACCTCGGATAGACTTTCCTTGATCAATGTCATCTAAAGCATTTTTTATTACTGACAGATCTAAATTGCTTCTCTTTCTAGTTGTTTGTTTTTTTCTATAGTTGAAGGGCATTCTCTGAAATAAAATGAATAAAATTTATTGCGGGAGAAACGACCCTGACAGAGAGGGAGAGATTACCCTGGGTAAAGTCTCCTCCCAACGCCAGGGTAATGTCTCCCACTCCACGCCATACTACCAGTTATTAAATTTAAAAAAAAGCTATGACACTTGAATAAAAGCTGGCTGTCGTAAATATGACTAGAATAATTACAGTTACGGTGTATATAAGTGGCGTGCTGGAATCTTTCCACAGTAAAGAACAGAGATCAAATGTCGAAAACTGAATAAACTCACTTTCCAGGTACGAAAACGTGTTGCCACTTCTTACTTCCAAACCAAACTGCCAATTGTAACGGCGCTACGTGAGCGGGGTGGGAGGTGCCTATGACGTCTGAGAAGTGTGGCAATGTCGTAACATCTCGTGCCACAAATATTCTATGAGCAGCGGCTATTGTCTCCCACCTGCTAGACTCTCCCGGACTCCCCCTACTATATCGAATTCTAGTGTTCGGTAGTTTGTGCAGACATGTAAGCAATATTACCCAAAAATATATTTAAAAAATATTTAATAATAAAGAAAACAAGATATCCTCCATCTTTATTATTTGATGAAGTATTCAATGTTAGATCATTATACATACTTACTGGATGTATACCGGGTGTTTCAAATTCGACGCTACCATTGGGATCTCGGAAACGGTAAGAGATATGACGTTAAAGGGGGCAAAGCTGCGTATATAGATGACGAAGAAAATGCTGCTTAAAAAGTTTCGAAATTCAGAGTATTTCCGGAGAGAGACAGAAAAAACACAATTTTCCCAAAATCGTTTAAATTTGTTCCTGTTCCATTTCTAGTGGGATTTTAAAATCAATTACATATCGGGATTTCCACTTTTTCTCCGCTACAAGATAGCATAATCAGGTTGCAATATATGTTTTGTCCCTTGTCCTCTAGCATCAACTTTATTTTTTCTTAATGTACCTATATTGTGTCATACATCGACATTGCGAAACCTTACTGATTCCAGAAAAACAGAAGTTCTTAGGTAGGCATTTAAATAATGAGTTATTTGCTTTATATACCAGACCAGACTTCAAAATGAACATAGTAACAGAGCTTGGAAGACGAAGAAGAAGATATTTAAATTGAGCAGTGAGTAATGTACAGAGAAGGGTCGGTCAGGCTTTGGCTTCAAAATAACGGACAACATTTTAAACATCTGCTATGATTTACCTTTGCTTATTTATGATTATTATAGTTATTATCACCAATTAAATGTTCATTGTGAGTTCAGGTTTTACCAGACATTGTTATTTCCATATAATTTTCATCGAACATCACATTTATTTCTAACGACAAAGTTGGTGATAGAACCTCGACTTGAAAATTGTACTACTATCTTGTAGAGGATAAGAAGTAATATTGACAACATGCAATTTATTTTGAAATCCCGTCTCAAATAAAGCCAGGAAAAAATAAAGATGATTATGGAATAAAGCTGGTACCTACGCGAAAAATAACATGAATGCCTACCTAGGAAATTCTGCTTATTTTGAAATAAGTAAGGTTTGAAAATAAGACTGTATGACGTATCATACATTTTTGGAATCATAATCAAAAACCCTATTCATCTCTGCAAAAATCGAATATGGCACCATCAATAAAAAATAAGCTTGATGCTGGAGGACAAAAGGCGAAATGTTATATTAAAATTCTAATTATGCCATCTGGTAGAGAAGGAAAAGTGGCATTGTTAATATTTTAAAATACCACTACGAATAAAGTCAAGAAAAAATTAAAATGATTTTGAGAAAAATACTTTGAATTTTGAAACTGTCTAAGCCTTTATTTACCTGAACAAGCAACTTTGCTCCCTTAAGTGACTTCGTATCTCCGAGATCCCAATGGTGACGGTCGAATTTCAAACACCCGGTATCTGCTCATAAAATTAAAAATAAGAGTTTATATTTATATCATCAATATAACACAGGATGTAGAAGCCATCGATCTTTTGACACCAATGAGCCATATAAATATTAATCTTATAAATAACATTCTACCCTCAAACATTAGAGACATCAGGACTTATTATCTTCTCATAAAGCAATGTGAATTGTATGAAAAAAGCCATCAGCTTATGAATTTATCTTAGAATATTACTCAAAATTACTTGTAAATATTTTTTTATATATGTATACCTGTATTTAAGGTAGAGGTTGTTGATTATAGTAGTAATGAATATTGTTAATATACATTTACATAAAACCCATAATTTTGAGCACATACAGCTATTAAAGGTGCTTTGTGATAATACTATATAAAAAATATGTTGTACTATCATCTTTATGAAAATTGTATATTTTTCTATGAACTATAAACTTGTCTACTAACAGGTTGCCTATACTTTGCCCATACACTGCATATAATCGAGTGTTTACTTACGTGTCAATTACTAATTTGAATCAAAATCGGTTATTATGGCTTAATTAAAAACTTATAGGCATATTGCGGACTTATTTGTAAATCATGATGATTACTATAAATCATGAAGTATCGTAGATCAAGGCGTTTCGAATCAATGGGTGAATCGGATCAAAATAAGAAATCTGTTAATATTTTAAGTAACTCATTAACACGGTTATTCTGAACAGATTTGCCTCGGTCTACCCTATTTTATGTTATGTCACATCAATAGGTTTTGCAGTGTACGCCAAATAATGACTTTTGATACCTTGGGTCAGGATTCTGTAATGTTTCAGTCAGTTCACCCACCGGTGAAAATCCGCTGGGGGGATCTTTGGCCTGGCGTTTAGCTCTCTTAGTGATGCGCTTTTATTGTCATCTATGCTTGTAAAACGACGGTCCTTTAAGGCTCTCTTCATTTTTATAAACAGGAAAGGTCATACTAAGCCATTTCTGGCAAATATGGAGGCTGGGGCATTATTACAGTATTGTTTTTTCCAAACATTCACGAATAAGCAATGAAGTGTGAGCAGTTGCATTATCGTGGTGTAAAAGCCATGAACCGTTTTTCCACAAATCCGCAATTTTTTCAGATTGCTTCGAAGAACACGTTTCAGTAACTCTGCATCGCCACTGTTTGTGTTTTGGAACAAATTTTGCTGCCACCCATTTCATACCTAAAACACTCGAAAATATTTCACGGCATGAGCCAAGCAATATGCCAACAACATCAGCGACGTCTCTGATTGTGATTCGGCGATCTGTATTTCACTTTTTCCACGTTCTCATTGGCTGATGATGTGCTGGGGCGTCCGTAGCGTTCGTTCTTCAACGTCTTCACCCATCTTGGAAACGCTTATAGCACCCGTAAGCTCTTGTTTTACTTATAGCAGACTCACCATGGGCCTTTGTTAATATTTCACACACCTTATTACACATTTCATTTTTTAGGTAAAATTTGTTACACATTATTGGATCTATTTCTTTTAACAAACAAAATTCACCGAGCTCATAAAAACACGTCTAACAGCGGGTGTCATAGAAATAGTAAACAATGAACACAGTTGTAAATTTTATCTTTCTTCAGGGGTACGTATACCAACATAATAAGAAAATGACAATCAGTTTAAAGATTCCCGCTATCTTCTGAACAAACCTTACCTTAAGTAGAGATATTCAGTTCAACGAGCTAACTATTATTTATATTTCCAAGCGAGACGTCAATTGCATTTACAATCAGTCTGTTTTGGATTTGGTTTTAATCTAGGACGCTCTGTATATATCCAGTGGATTTTGTGCGACGAATTTGTGAGTAGGTCGTTTTAAAATATTTCGTGAAAGGGGCCATCAATAACGCTTCTGGGAAAAAGTGAACAAGGATTGCTTTGATTCGATGTTACAAGTATGTCAACGCGGGACGCTGAAAATGAATAATGCGTCTAGGATTATTTATAAACTTGCCAGTGGAAAGAAATGCATCTTGTTGTTTCTTGCAACAAGATGGTTCCAGCTGTGTGAGCCTATAAATTAAAGAAAAATGTATATTCTGAATGTGGCAAAAGCTGCCATCAAAGCTCAATCAAAATTTAGACCGTTGACTATGACGTAATGATGTAATAAGTTCATTCACGTCTAATCATGACGCGATTCGACTCTAATAATGGAAGGCAAGCTTCTTTAGATGAGAGACACTTTGCCTGTCAATCTTGCACGCTGATGAAAACATTTCAATAAAATAAAAAATGAGTGTAATAAAAATCCCATCCAGCTAGAGGGCTTTAAAATGATTAAAGCGCCGCCTCACCGGCGTGACAACCAATAATGCGCTGAAAAAAATCGATTTCATGTGGGAAGAGACCGCTAAATGGTAAACATATCCATAACAATACATCCATGGTACATCACATGGGTGTCAAATGGTGTTCAGCCGCAACAAATGGATTTACATTCAGCTGAGGTGACGATTCAGTGACAACATTGGCTTTAGTACGATGGACGTGTCAAGTGGTGCTTTATTTATGTTATAAATAGATTTGGATGCTACTGGCGGGAAGGGTATTGTAATCGCGGAAATTTTCGAAAATGAGACATTATGTTTGGTGAAGGCCAACATCGTCATTCAGGCGGGATTGGTCATCGCAACTATCAGGTGCGCCTGCAGGGGGAGGAGGAAGGTCATTTTATTTTTTTGTTATAAATGTTCGTAGCTAATTTGTTTCTCATAAGGGCCAACTTGTGCTAAACGTAATGCTTTACGAACCGATGACAGCGTAGCGTGGAAAGTACAAAATCAGCTTACTTGACGCCATTCTTTTCCATCTTATGAGTCTTGCATGTTATTTGTGATTCGTAGAGACAAATTGTTAAATTCATATCTTCATAGGGAATGAAGGACCCACTAATTGCCTCCTTTTAGGTAATGACAAACGTGAGGCCACACGAGATGTGTTTTTAATTACTATCCAATACCCAGCAAGATCCTGAGAGTTTTATCGAAATGCATGTGCATTTCCGAGTCAGTCAAGGGTCGCGACTTCAGTTTATTTGCTTCTGCTTCCTTCAGTAAGCTAGACGACATGACAGCGCTGATGCCGATCACGCTACCGCCTCGCCACGCCGAATTGTTTGCTTTAAAATATAATGAGTGACATATTGTAAAAAACATAACCCAGTTATAATGAATTTGTTACAAAGATTTTCTAGGTTTATGTTTGTTTAGGTTAGTACCAAGCACGGTCAGCTTTTCAACTACATCGATAAACGGTGAACTCGTCTGTTCGAACAAAAAAGTAAGCAATATATAGTTGTCTTCTTGTAGCTATAATTGGCGTTTGATCATGGTACAATAAGGATAATAGGAACACTTTTTTATTATTTCCTGACCTATACGCTCTGTAAAGTCTCAACTATGAGGGCACCCTGTATACGGCTCTCGAACCCTGCCTAAGTGTATGTTCTTATGTGCTTAATCCTTTCCACCCTGTAACGCACGGCGGACCTCCAACCGCTTCGGACACTTCACCGTCCAGATTTGGCCCTTATGGACTGGCTGATATAGCGAAGAGTGCGAC